TTGATGTGAACTTCTACATAGATGTGTACTTGTACATTGTCATGTGCTTCAACATTGTCATGTGCTTCAACATTGATGTGTGCTTCAACATTGATGTGTACTTCTACATTGATGTGTACTTCTACATTGATGTGTGCTTCTACATTGACACATACTTTTACATTGACACATACTTCTACATTGTCTTGTGCTTCAACATTGATGTGAACTTCTACATTGATGTGTACTTCTACATTGACACATACATGTATTTTTACGTCAAATGCTTCTACATTTACATGTGCTTCTACATTGTAAGTACTTCTACATTGACGTGTGCTTCTACATTGATACATGCTTCTACATTGGCACATACTTCTGCATATATATTGACACATTGACTTGCATAATTCACCTGTACATCTGTTTATGCTTACTTCCAGAAACCAGGACAGCTGGAAAAAGTTGATCAGTACAAGAGAAGAATTGCTAGAAAAAAGGTTATTATTTCTTAATGTACAGTTAAAAACCCAAATTTCCTAAATAAATATACACGTACAGTGTATACATTTTGGATATCTTGAACTTCATTATTCTGGACCAAAATATGCTCTGTGTCAATTTGAGCCCTGACATACATGTATGCTGTCATTTACACAAACTAATAACACTTTGTTTCACAAGGCTTCAGTAGAAGCAAGATTGAAAACAGCAGTCCAATCTCAACTAGATGGCGTCAGAACTGGCCTTACTAAACTTCAGAGTGCTCTAGAAGAAATTCAAGAAATAAGACAGAGGTATGAATAATGAAGTTACCGCGTAAGCTTTGGTGTTTGTGGCATCATTTTCACCTATGCATGGCTTCCTTGTGGCCTCAGCATTACATCATTGTGGTATCAGCTTTGTGTCATTAAAAATTGAAGCTGTGTTCGCCTCACTTATTTTGTGGCATCATCGTGGCCTCAGCTTTGCAGTCTCATGGCATCAACATGGCATCAGCTTCAAAGTATTGTGGCATCGGTATGACCTCATTATTTGCACACAGAAAAGCAGTAGAGAAAAACACAAGAGGTCAATGACATAGTCGTAACTAAAATAAAACCTCATGGTCAGCAACTAATGTTACAGAAATGATACAAGAATTTTAAATTAGATAATATAATAACCGCTTTAACTGCGATATAATCATGAAGTGAGGACAGGACATATTGTCCATATCCCGAGTTCATGCAAACTTCAGTAGGATTTTTTTTATTTAAATACCAATGCGGTAACATTGTTAAGAGCTAGACGCAACAAATGAGAAATAAAAAGCTCTCTAGCTGGTTGCCGTGACACCTACTTTTGATGACACCGCCAGCCAATGGTAGCTATGGATTTACGTAACTCTGTTGTTACTTTGTACTAAACCTGGTCAAAGTAGTTCACATCTATTTTTTTACCAGATTTACCTCAGTGTATTTTCAAATATAAAAAAAACATAGTATGATGCCATTGTGTTTTCAAAACTTGCCGATCCAATTTTCAGAAACCAACACTCAATCTTTCTCCAATCTCTTCCTGATGTCTACCTGCTTGATTTTAATGGGCGTCAAGGAAATAATTTGTCACCAAACAAAATCAGTCAATCTTGATAATTGCTCATGCATGATTTAGCTTGATCCAAGTGTTTAGATGAATACAACCGATACTATAAATAGGGGCAAGATGGCCACCGCCATTAGTATGCTAATCCAAACCAAGCTGCTCGCATCGTGGAGGGAGCTCTGGGAAATGTGCCTTTTACAATGTTTATATGTATGTTTACGATGCTGTGATTCCAAATACATTTCTACGGGGGCATGAATATGTACCCTAGCGGTTACATTCATCTGGTTGGGCTTTTGATGTATAAATGTTGTTGCTTTCGGTTGAAACGTGCCACGACAAATAAAAATCTTTAGTTTAAAATGGCGGCTAATATATGCAAAATGCCTGTTAATCACAGTTTGAGTAAGCGAGCATAATAAGCATTCATTTACTTAGTGGGCAGAGGCGGAGCTAATTACCCATGAGCACGTGGTGCAATCCATGACAACAAAGAGTATCTGTGTGATGACATAAATGGTTAACTATGATACTTCTCAGCATTGTTTACATAATAATGTAAATTACTTCTTTTCGATGAAGTGATGATGATGCCACATTGTTGCCATAATGAAGCGAAGCAATAACCACTTCAACTTTTTAATGTTGTGACATTCATGCGACACCATAACAATGCCATAATGATGTGTTGCTGAAGCTGAATTGAGGCCAAAGCTTACATGTTAACTGTATGTGCCACAGTCATCAAAGCACATTGACATGGTATAGTGTCACGATAGTATCAGGAACTACATTTATAAAAAAATAATAAGAGGTGTAAAGATGAGTTTTTTGTCCACTGCTAATACATGTACTTGGGCAATAGAACATGTTCCGACATGGAAACTTCTGTGTGTCCACTCACCAAAGTTAGAGAACTGTATTGATCATCCTTAATACAGGCTTCACACAACAATTACAATTGGTTTCAATAGGTGATTTTCCGTACATTGCGAGAATCACGCGTTATGCGTGAAATCGAACGTAAAAACAGGACAAACAAAAGTCATAGCGTCGTAGTCGCGTCAAACATCGCGTGGGATTCGACAAACGCGAAAGTATTTCAGGGACATTTCCATGCTTAATAATGTGCTGTTCACATTTGATGATAGGCAATTTTGATGAAGTCAGGGTATTCGGAAGCAATATTCCTCTGTCGAAGATCGGCCGGCCAATGTAAGCTGCGAAATAAAGAAATTCTAGTTCAAAATCAAATCGTTCGATTTTTGCGGCAGACGTTCGACGCGCGTCTTTCATGCATCTTGCGAGATCTCGCAATTGTTCGGAAAATCACCTATTCCCACAAATGTCTTGATTTTGTAAATAAGGTTTTTGCAAGGGATGGTACATGTATGCTAGTATTTCCAACTGTTTTATTTGATATGATACACAGCTTTGAATGAATAAATAGGATATTGGCAAAAACCAGCTTGTCTCGCCCCTTTTTACCTATGCTCTTGAGCTTATCATATGAGTGGTTGTCCGTCATATGTAGTCTGTTGTCAACTTTTTACATTTTTGTCTTCTTCTTAAAAATGGTTAAACCAAATGCTTTCATATTTACAACATAGATTCTTAGGGTAGTCCTCTCAGATTTGTTCACTTCGTGATGATATCTTCAATTCTCTAATTTTGATGAGTAATTTTGTTAATTTTGGTCAAAAGTGATATTTTTGACTTCTTGTTAAAAACTGCAAGTTCAATTGCTCTGATACTATACATATTGTTCATTTTCTAATGATATCAGTTCTTTATTTGAAATGTGCATTTCTAAGAGCGGAGCTATCTCAGCGGATGGACTGCTTGATATTTTTTTGACTTTCAAATGTTATACTTTCAGTCTAAAAGAAGTTGATGAAATGTATACGGCATGTGAAGAAGTAAATGCCAAATTAGAAGAAGTAAAAACAGTTGGTGCTGAACACAGTCAGGTTGGTTCATACTGTTATGTCAAAAATGAAAGATGGAATAACACTGGCATGTTAGCAGAATGATGGCTTATTTCTCTCATGTCAGACCTTGTGAACAAACCAACCAATAAACTAGCCAGCCAACAAATAAATAAATGAATGAATGAACGAACTGAGAACATAATATTATTTTAATAAATCAATATTGATAAATTATTTAGATTATTGTTTGTAGGATTAATCATTGTTCCTGATTTTCATTGAAAGTTGGCAGCAGCTGTGGAGAATCTGAAGCATATTTTCACAGTACCAGAAAGTGTTGAAAAAACTAGGTTCCTGATTGATGAAGAGAAATATTTAAATGCTCATAAATGGTAAGATGAAGTGAGGACTTATGTTATTGGTTATGTGTGTGTATGTGTGTGTCCACCTTTATTTCTCTGACATGCCTGGACCAACATAATTGAATACATATGCACATTGATTTGTATTTTCTTTTGGTTGATCTTGACAGATTTCATTCAAAATTGGAAATAACATTCGTTCATTCATGTTTAGTATTGACATCAATCAGTGAGTTTAACACTAATGAATGTCATTTTGTTTTGTGATTTGATTCAAAATGGCTGACTCGTGGCCATGTTGGTATGTTTTTACAAAAATTAGTGTTCTTCCCATGTCTCAGAGATATTTTTGACTCCAGTGTGCGAAGCACACAATGGGAGTCTTTGCAGTTAGTGTGTGTGTGTGTCCATCTGTTCCACTGATATCTCAAGAACCATACATCGATTTTTGATGAAACTTGGTACATAGGTGCTCTGAACTAATGTGCAGATTTGATTAGTTTTTGGTAAAAATCTGTGCATATGCGGTAATTACTTAATTTGCATAATGATTTTCTCTGATATCTCAAGGACTAATCATCACATTTCAATGAAACTTGGTATCTAGATGTCATAGGACACAACCCTGATAATTTTCAGGATAGTATCAGTACATTTTATTTACCTCATTTGCATAATTAATTAATTTTCAGCTTTTGATATTTCATGCAGTAAGCATTACATTTTAATGAAACTTGGTACATATATACTCAAGTACTATGCAGAGATCAATTATTTTGGGATAAATATTTATGCATATTAATCACCTAATTTGCATAATTAGTTAATTTTCTACCTTTCCACTGATACATGTATCCCAAGTACTAATCATCACATTTCAATGAAACTTGGTACATGGAGCCACGAGGACCATGCAGACCCCCTGATTAGATTTGGGGTAAATAATTGTGCATATTAATTAATTATCTAATTTGCATAATTAGTTAATTTTCGGCTTTTCCACTGATATCCCAAGTTAGAATCATCACATTTTAATGAAGCTTGGTACATGGATCCACTAGGACCATGCAGAGACCTGATTAGATTTGGGGTAAATAATTGTGCATATTAATTACCTAATTTGCATAATTAATTATTTTTCAGCTCTTTCACTGATATCTCAAATACTATCATCACATTTCAATGAATTTAAATTATGCAGAGCACCAATTATTTTTTCGGTATATATTTATGCATATTAATCACCTAATTTGCATAATTAGTTAATTTTCAGCTTTTCCACTGCTATCCCAAGTTATAATCATCACATTTCAATGAAACTTGGTACATGGATCCACTAGGACCATGCAGAGACCTGATTAGATTTGGGGTAAATAATTGTGCATATTAATTACCTAATTTGCATAATTAATTATTTTTCAGCTCTTTCACTGATATATCAAGTACTATCATCACATTTCAATTTAACTTTGTACATATATGCTCTAGGACAGTAGACTAACCTGATTAATTTTGTGTTAAAATCTGTACACATTAATTACCTAATTGCATAATTAACAAATTTTAAGCTTTCACACTAATATCAAAAGTACTAATTATTTCACTTCAATGTAATTTGATACAAAAATGTACAAATCTGATTAGTTTGGGGTTGAAATCTGAAATCCCTAATTAACATAATAATTCATAATTTTTTTATTCTGGTCACATTTCAATGAAACTTTGTACATAGATGGTCTGTTACATTGTGCAGATCTTATTAGTTTTACACTCAAATTTGTAACTAATTAACTATAATTAGTTTTCAGCTTTTCCATCAATATCTCAAGTACAAGTAATTTCAAATTAATTTTTACTGTGTCTCCAATACTCTCAGCACACAGGAGTTCTTTCTAAGCTTTCTTTGATTACACATTTGGCTTAAATTTGATACAAAGGCATGTCTAAATATGTTGAATGTTGTCTTCAGTTATTTTTTTGAAATCTCAATAAAATTTAGCTCAAAATTTGAGCAACTTTTTCTCAGCCATGCTTGTGCCGATTCATTCATACATCACTAATAGTGGCCATGTTGGTAATATTTTTTCAACCATTTGTAAGACATGCGATTTTGTTGCAAATAGATACAAAGACAATATAATAATATATTTTTTATCTCCGCTGTTGACTTTGTCAAGCGGAACTCATCATATGGGTGATTGTTCATTGGCGCCTGTCATCGTGTCCATGTAAACTTTTTGCTTTTTTGACTTGCACTACAAGCCTTAATGCTTTGATACTTAGTGTATATGTGCCTTGGGTTGACCTCTCTTAGATTTGTTCATTTCCTTCAATTTTCTAATTTTGGTGAACATTTTTGGTAAAAAGTGATATTTCAGACTTCTTTTTAAAAACCGCAAGTCCTATTACTTTGATATTACATATATAAGTACTACATGTGGACCTCTCTCAGATTTGTTCATTTCATGGTGATATCTTTAATTCTCTAATTTTAATGAATATTTTTGTCATTTTTGGTAAAATGTGATATTTTCAACTTCTTGTTGAAAACTGCAAGTCTGATTACTTTGATATTACATATATAGGTACTACATGTGGACCTTTCTCAGATTTGTTCATTTTGTAATGATATCTATAATTCTGTAATTTTAATTAATATTTTTGTCTTTTTAGCTTCGCTCATATTACTGATTGTCCACGATGATATCTTTATTTCTCTAATTTTGATGAATATTTTTGGTAAAAAGTAGTATTTTCAACTTCCTGTTAAATAGTAACCCTAAATTGGCCATATATTGAGCCAATCTGTGAAAAGAAGCTAATTTCAACTGATTTTGGTAGGTAAAAAAAAGAAGAAGAGATAGGGGTTGGGGAAACTTTTTTATGAGGTCATTGACCTTTGCCCAAATAGCTATGATTCTTGTATGAGTCGTATTTCATCAACAGAATATTGTATATAGATAAAATTAGTGTCAAAATGCGCAGAATTAAAAAAGAAAGAAGACTTAAAATAAAAATTAACTTAAAATTAATTACCTATATACCATATTCTGTTGATGAAATATGATTCATATAAGGATCATAGCTATTTTGGCAAAAGTCAATGACCTTTGACCTCCGATAAAAAAGTTTCCCCTTCTTTTTTTTTGGTAGTTGTCCATACAAAATCAGTTGAAATTAGCTTCTTTTAAATGTTTTACTAAAAAACCACAAGTCTGTATGCTTTGATATTACATATATAGGTACTACATGTGGACCTCTCTCAGATTTGTTCATTTCATGATGATATCTTTAATTCTCTAATTTTGATGAATATTTTTGTCATTTTTGGTAAAAAGTGATATATCGACTTTTTGTTGGAAATAGCAAGTTTGATTGCTCTGATACTATATATATTGTTCATTTTCTAATGATATCTTCTGTTCTTTAATTTAAATGTGCATTGCTAACAGCGGAGCTATCTCAGCCGACAGGCTGCTTGTTTTTATGATCTTTGATTGCTATTTTTATTCTCCAAAACACCCTAAAACATGTCATAAACCATTTCTCAGACATGCCTGTGCCTATGTTGTGTTGTGTTTTGTTATTTGAAGTTGGAAACTGTTTTTTGTGTTGAATTTACAATTTTGTACAATATGAGAATGATCTTACTGTATTCCCAAGAGATGTCACTGTCACCTGAATATAAGATGTAATTTGAAATAACTTTTCTTTTAACGTGCTGAACTGTTCCTTAACATTTATTATTATACATCTGTTACCGTAACGCCATAAGTTACAGCATGCCGTAATTTTGCGGTATTTTACGGTGTATTTTCATACTACCATATTTGGAAATGCGAATTCCAAATATGATAATAAAAACAAACATGGCTGCCACCAGGATTTGACCGGACTCCATACAAAGAAATTCGCTGATTCTGTTCTAAACTTTTTGGATTTCGGCATTTCCATGATGTATCCTTGAAGGGAAAAGATGTATAATAATAAGGTTATTACAAGGATACCTCAAAGTATGCATTCAGACAGTACGCTGTCGCATCGACCTCTGCTGCGCGTCGGTCAATACTGCCGCTGTACTGTCTTCGTGCATACTTTGAGGTATCTTCATAATAACCTCATATTATAATCTATCAACATCTATTATTATTTTATAATTGTCACAGTCACCAAAAACTGAACAGGGACTACATATACATTGACAACATTTTTTTAATAAGCTTTGACACAGTTTAGTTTTCGCCTATTACTTTAAAAATTGGTTGGCACTTGAAATAACGGTGCAAACATATGCGGAATTATGTTAGACATTCATTTTAGCTGACATCTGAAACACCCATAGATATTCAAATTTAATATTTATATTAATAATTCTTAAAAATAATTCAAGAAAATATTGTGTAAAACAAATTTTATTAAATAATATGGAGTTCTGAAAAATTATTACACTGCCTGAGTGTACAAGGGATAAATTACTGGAAAGGCCAACTATTTATTGGTATTATTAAACCATCCTTTTATATTCCTTTAAATTTTTTTTTTTTATTAACTTTTTTCTATATCATGCATTTTTACTACCACTTCCCCGGGGATCAAATAGATCAGCGTTTTTGTTAGCAGCTCGTCGGCAATATTGGTGAATGATATTTGTGCTTTCCCAGAGTAAGCTTAGATCCTCAGTGCAGTGGTTAAAATGTCACAAGTATTACAAATGCAATGTGAGTGTGACGACAAAGTAATAAGTTTGTGAGTATCAGCATCATGTGAATGTACAAAAAGTGACAATGAAATACTTACAGTACAACATATAAAACCTTTTTTTTTCTGCAATATAATTAAACACTTCAGTGTTTGTTATTTTTCTCTTCTTTTTTCTAGTTTGATGGACTTAGAGAATTCACGGGATGACTTGTTGTTTGAACTACATAAACAGCCTTCAGATAATCCATCAGATGACTATGTAAGTGTGTGGATCACTCAGTCTGCAGCTAGAGTAGACTCTGAATTGTGTGAAATAATACTCAGTCAAACCTGTGTATAGCAACCAACTTCATTGACAGGTGGTCTTTATATAGATGTTGTATTATTTTTTATGGGTTGCCAACTTGTACATTTCTTATATTTGTCCAGAAAAGTTTGAGTTTAACAAAATAAAATTAGAAGAAAATAAAAATTAAAAAAAAAATGTTTTATAAACAGAATGCTGGTTATTTCTGGTTTCGATTTAAGTCCGATTTTCGCTATACTTGGTCAATTTGACACTGGTGAGTCTTAAGTTTTGCTAATGCACATGTCTTGATGGCCTAGATCGTTTCTTTGCATTATCAGAAAGGTGCCGGAGTCATTATTTGGCCTCAATGTGACCTCTGTTTTACCTCTGTACGGCCCCATTGTTCTCTGGGCAGCCCTATTGTTTTCTATTTTGACCCTGTGACTTCTATTTGACCTCACTGACCTCTATTTGACCTTGTGACCTCCCACATTACGTCATTTAACAAAGGTGAATCTTTATACACAGGATGCTCATACATTATGACTGCCTAAAAATGGTGATATTTCTGACTTGTTAAAAAACGCAAGTCAGGCTGCTTTTATGTTATAAATATAGGTACCTCAGGTAGACCTCTCTCAGATTTGTTCATTTTGTGATGATATCTTCAATTCTCTAATTTTTATGAATATTTTTGTCAATTTTGGTAAAAGCCACAAGTTGGATTGCTTTTATGTCTAGTCAGATGGTTGTTATACAATTACTACGTGTACCACAGAAGTAATTGTATCACACACGTGTTCTTCTTGTTAAAAACCGCAGGTTGGATTGCTTTTATGTCTAGTCAGATGGTTGTTATGCAATTACTACGTGTACCACAGAAGTAATTGTATCACACACGTGTTCTTCTTGTTAAAAACCGCAGGTTGGATTGCTTTTATGTCTAGTTAGATGGTTTTTATGCAATCACTACCACAAATATAGTACATTCTTCCTCTCATATCACCCCTTCCCCTATAATAGCAAACTGTAATACTAATAATGTTTACAGATCTGATCTTTGTTAAAATGCAGCCAATCATGGATTGATTTGCTAGTCCAGGTTAGCTAGCTAGCTAGCTAGCCAATCAGCGATTGGTTTGTTAGTCTGGATTAGATAGCCATCAGAGATTTGTTTGCTTGTCTAGCTTTAGTAGCCAATCAGAGATTGGTTTGCTAGTTTTAGTTAGGTAGTCAATTAGGGATTGTTTTGCTGGTCTGGCTTCAGTAGCCGATCAGAGATTGGTTTGCTAGTTTTAGTTAGGTAGTCAATCAGGGATTGTTTTGCTGGTCTGGCTTCAGTAGCCAATCAGAGATTGGTTTGCTAGTTTTAGTTAGGTAGTCAATCAGGGATTGTTTTGCTGGTCTGGCTTCAGTAGCCGATCAGAGATTGGTTTGCTAGTTTTAGTTTAGGTAGTCAATCAGGGATTGTTTTGCTGGTCTGGCTTCAGTAGCCAATCAGAGATTGGTTTGCTAGTTTTAGTTAGGTAGTCAATCAGGGATTGTTTTGCTGGTCTGGCTTCAGTAGCCAATCAGAGATTGGTTTGCTAGTTTTAGTTAGGTAGTCAATTAGGGATTGTTTTGCTGGTCTGGCTTCAGTAGCCAATCAGAGATTGGTTTGCTAGTTTTAGTTAGGTAGTCAATCAGGGATTGTTTTGCTGGTCTGGCTTCAGTAGCCAATCAGAGATTGGTTTGCTAGTTTTAGTTAGGTAGTCAATCAGGGATTGTTTTGCTGGTCTGGCTTCAGTAGCCAATCAGAGATTGGTTTGCTAGTTTTAGTTAGGTAGTCAATCAGGGATTGTTTTGCTGGTCTGGCTTCAGTAGCCGATCAGAGATTGGTTTGCTAGTTTTAGTTAGGTAATCAATCAGAAATTGGTTTGCTGGTCTAGGTTAGGTAACCAATCAGGGATTAGCTGTCTGCAAGGTTAAGTGATTTCATATTTATGTAATTAGATGTCGAATTACTGTTAGATTTTGTCTAAATGTAAACAATGCTGGGCAGTTTATTGTTTTGAAGGTAAAATCTTAAACCCATTGATAGGAAATGTTTCTTTTCTTGTTCTTTTTTTCAGTTACTGAAAAGGTATTTTGCCGATGTAGAATCTTTATCAGTAAGTATAAAACTAGTATCTCTCCAAGCAGTCACTTGGCTGATCCTACTTAATTTTTGACTTCCGTGTGCGAAGCACACAATGAAACTTGGTGCATAGATGCTTTGGGCCAATGTGCAGAGTTGATTAGTTTTTGGTAAAAATCCATGCATATTAATTACCTAATTTGCATGATAATTAGCTGATTTTCAGCTGTTCCATGACTGTTCCACTGATATCTAAAGAACCACGTATTGGATTTTGATGAAACTTGGCACATAGATGCTCCAAACTAATGCGCAGATTTGATTAGTTTTGGGTAAAAATCTGTGCAATATTAATTACCTAATTTGCATAATGATTAATATGTTTTCATCTTTTCCACTGATATCTCAAGTACTAATCATCACATTTCAATGAAACTTGGTACATAGATGTCATAGGACACTGCACAAACCTGATTGTTTTTAGGGTAATATCAGTACATATTAATTACCTAATTTGCATAATGATTAATCCATTTTCGGCTTTTCCACTGATATCTCAAGTACTAATCATCACATTTCAATGAAACTTGGTACATAGATGTCATAGGACACTGCACAGACCTGATAGTTTTTAGGGTAATATCAGTAGATATTAATTTCCTAATTTGCATAATTAATTAATTTTCAGCTTTTGATATTTCAAGTAGTAATCATCACATTTCAATGAAACTTGGTACATAGATGTCATAGGACACTGCGCAGACCTGATAGTTTTTAGGGTAATATCAGTACATATTAATTACCTAATTTGCATAATGATTAATCCATTTTCGGCTTTTCCACTGATATCTCAAGTACTAATCATTACATTTCAATGAAACTTGGTACATAAATGTCATAGGACACTGCACAGACCTGATAGTTTTTAGGGTAATATCAGTAGATATTAATTACCTAATTTGCATAATTAATTAATTTTCATCTTTGATATTTCAAGTAGTAATCATCACATTTCAATGAAACTTGGTACATAGTTACTGAAGGACTATGCAGACCCCTGATTAGTTTTGGGGTAAATATTTGTGCATATTAATGACCTAATTTACATAATTAATTTTCAGCTTTTTATATTTCAAGTTCTAATCATCATATTTCAATGAGACTTGATACATAGATCTTCTTGGACTATGTAGACACGTGATTAGTTTTAGGGTAAATAATTGTGGATATTAATTACCTAATTTGCATAATTAGTTATTTTTTTTCCATGAATGTTCCACTGATATATAAAGAACCACACATTGGATTTTAATGAAACTTTTAAAGAGTACTCATCATCACATTTCAATGAATCTAGAACTATGCAGAGACCCAATTATTTTTTGGTAAATATTTATGCTTATTAATCACCTAATTAACATAATTAATTGCCACTGATATCTCAATTACTGATCATCACATTTGAATAAAATTTGGTACATAAATGATCTAGGACAATAGGCAGGTGTTATTAATTTTTGGTTAAAATTTGTTCATATTAATTCTCTAATTAGCATAATAATTCATAATTTTTTTGTTCTTTTCTGTTCATATTAGTTACCTGATTTACATAATTAGTTTTCAGTTTTTCCATCAATATCTCAGGTACAAGCAATTTTGAATTAGTTTTTAATGTGTCTTCAATTCTCTCAGCCCACAGGAGTTCTTTCTAAGCTTTCTTTGATTTATATTTCATTTTGGTTAATGATTTCTATATGACTTCATTTTGATTTCCCTATACATTAAATCCTACTTTGGTGGTTGTTTGAGTTGATAATAGGCCGAAATATACTTTATATAATTCAAGAAAATAATTTCTGTACCCCAATTTTTTTTTCACATTCACAGGGGGAAAATTTAACAAATTTTCAGTCATGTGTCAAAATTATGTTTGCCTTGTCCATTCCAAGTAATAATATTCTTCAACAATTGTTTTTATGTAATTGTTCACAGAATGCGCTTGCTAAGCAGCTATGGCTGGTGTTACAACGAATGTTGCTGATAGTTAGAAAAGATCCAACAATGCTGGTCACTGCTCTTAGAATTATAGAAAGAGAAGAGAGGTAGGACAATTATTATCATCTATACTAAATACTAAAGATTTAAAGAGTCTGTCAAAAGTAACAATAGAAATAAGCTACCTAAATTCATTAAGGGAATCAGCCATATACGTGCCCCCTAAAGGTTATGCACACATCCTGGTGAGGGCCTTTTTGCCCAATAAAAACTGTCATGTTAAATCTTATACACTAATGTTTAAGTTTTTCGGTTTTCTGAACTTAAATGATAAATAATTATAAATATCTGAAAAATTCTCATAGTTAGTGAATTTATACCCCAGAAAGTACCAGGATGTGTGACCTTTAGGAGGTCATAAGACCACTTACATGTATGAAAATAAAACAAGACAAGAAACAAAAGGCTGGGGTGTGTAACATAATAAATACTAGACAAGTAGCTTCATAAAATAAAACCTAAATTCAATTTTTGTCAAGACATTTGTGTATTAATATACAATTCAGTGACTGTGTACCCATTGATAGATACACTTGCTTAAAGTCATGGGTAACTGAAACATATGCGCATGACAACATCTTTTTTGGTTCATTCCTGTCCCACCCTGTAAACAAAAGTTTGCAAGTCAGAAAAAATGTACATTTGATTGACTCGTGTCTACTATATTTCAACAGAAACATTGATTCAATTTGAAATGTGTCTCAATCTGTACTGCGTTAATTTCAACCAGCACTTCAATGCATAGTATTTGAAACCAGACTTTATCCATAGCTGCCTCCACAATTTACTATTAAATTTACATATTGCTCCAATCGCAGTGTATTAACTATAGACCATTTACCGTTTAATAATTTGCTATACACATTTGATGGTAAATTTTGATGAAGTAAGGGTATCTCAATGCTATATAAAAAGTAATCTAAGTTCAAATTAAAATCATTTGAATTTTGCTGCAGATGTTCAGTTCACACTTTTCACACATAATCTCATCAGAAAATTATCTATTGATGGTTTATACCAGTATGACATACATGTGTACATGTAAATGGGCTTTAGACCCTGTAACTGATAGTTTACTACATCACCTACCAGAAAGTCCGTGGAAATAATAAATTCCAATTATTACTCGATAGGCTTAACTACAGATTACAGCCCTGTTCGGAAACTATTAGGGAATATACCCTGTTCACAAAGAACACCTTAGGATAGCATTCCCTATAGAAAAAAGGCCTCTCCTAAGGGGTCACCCCGCAGAGGTGATCACGCATAAGGGGCCTGATCTGATATTCTCTTTTGTTTCCGCGACCAACGAGTACAGATATTTTTTCAGCTCCGTTGCGACGCATGGACAAAAGTGCAGGTTACAGTTTTATGACTGAGAATCTAGGAATCTATTATAAGGAGGCCCCACTTTTTTACCTGTGTTAATTTAATCGCCGGCTCAGTTTATTTTCATCGTATTCCGTTTTCTGGCGCGGTGAATTTACTGTTTTTTTTTCATGATCTCACTTTCGTAATTTTTGCAGACGCTATTATGCCTTAGTCACAAAAAAAGACAAAGTATGTCTCGCCGCAGACGAGACGTAAGACATGCTCGTCCTGCTTCAAGCAGATGCCCGATTGGGACCCACATATGTGTTGTCACAATTGCCCTGGTTGTCAGGGACTTGGGTTCTGTTCAGAGGGGCTTTGTGATTTATGGGATCCTAAATGTGGTTCGATTGCGAGGCAGGGTGGAAAGCTAAGGCAAGCGATCTAAAGCTGGTAAAGATCGCGAAAAGAAGGGTAAATCCCTTATTGCCACTGGTATGTCTGATTCTATGTGTGAGAAATCTTTCCCTACACTTGGTAGTCACCACGAGGCTCATAAAAAAGAGTGTGGAGCTGAGATATTGCCTGTACCTCCACCACCAGGGCTAGGGTCAGGTGTGCCCCATTCTCCCAGTGATCTCTCTTTTAGAGGGTCAGTGGAGGGACAATTCACATCAGTGGGAAAGAAGCATCTACTTCTTTTATAGAGGGGGGGGCCTCTCCCTGGAACGGATCGCCTTACGCGTCCTCTCCTGTATTCCGAACACACCCCCTCAGGCTCTGGCTGACCAGGCATTGTTTCTTGCATCTTTCCAAGCCGCGAGTGCCCCCACTTAGGACTCTGCGAGGGGAGGGGACTCCGGTGTTGGTACATGTATCCCTGTACAGAGGGGTATGCAACCCTCTTATGGGGGCAGCTACCACTTCCCCAACAGGAGGAGGGTGACCGCTTTGTCATTTCTCGTCCCCACTTTGTCGGGGCATTTACAGGACACCCAACCAACCGGAGCCAAGCTGTTCCTTACCAATATGCAGTTAAGGTCGCAGCTTGCGAACCGGGCAGTGATGGCCGCGAGACTCTTGTTTTGTACGGGGTCGGTGGTAAGCCTCCCCCTTCCTCACCTTTGCACCCTTTTTCATCTGTGCTCTCCCCTCCCACTGCCCGCTGGCCAACTCCCCTGGGCACCTCGTGTGACCCAGGCTATGGAGGCAGCTCAGAGGGTGATGGGGGGGGGGTTACGTTTTGGGGGAAAAGGACAAACAGCTTGAACCTGGTTTCAGAGCGGTCACATCCAATGCCTCCCGTTGGGTGAATTGATACCCCATTGGGTCTACGCGAACCGTTGATGGGTCCCTGGTGTGGGACACTCACGCGGTACCATGGCCTTCTCCACGGGTTCCTTGTTCTGATCCTGGTACCCATACTTTTGTTAAGGCGGGAAGTACGGATCGGGAAGGCCACGTTGTGGTCATTTGACCGGCACCAGAGCCTACTAGTGCATAGGGCTTTATGGGCGGAGCTCAGTTCTGACTGTCTGAGTGCTAAGCAACGAACCTCGATTCATGGGCAGATGGGCCAGTTCCTGGTGGCGCAGAGAGTCGCTATGTGGGATATCTTGCAAGTCCATACTGCCCTCTTGGCAGGAGAGGTTTCGGCTGAACGTGACGCAGTTCTGGGTCTGTGCGCCTATCCTACTCCAGCAGGAGACGAGTTTGAACTTCTGCGGAAAAGGCCTTGGGGGCGTGACTGGCTATTTGGTGGCCGGTTAGTGGATGCAGTAAACGGTTGGGCGGTTGTGGACGATCAGCATATCCATTTGAAGCAATCGTCCCCGTTGACCAAGGTGCTAGTCCGTCTGGTCAACGGTTCAAACCAAAGCATCAAGGCAGCCCAGGTAGTATGTTCGCCGCTCGGAGCCACAACCAGCGAGGATCAAAGCGTTCATGGTCCTTCGAGGGGGCAGAAAAAGATTAGTAGCAGGAAACATCAGAGAAATCCCAAGAAACGTAGTGTTGGTGGTGGGCGTTCTAACGCTTCTGGGGACCGGGGGGCGCGAAGTATCTTTCAAGGCTTCGCCGGCTGCCTGGACATGGATGGGGGTACGACTCCTTGGGCCAGTCTCCCCCTCTTCGTTCTCCTTCTCGGGAGGATGGAGTTCGGGAAGCACTAGCCCTGAACCCCCGTCCGCTCCTTCCTGTGGGATCGCGCCTTATGCAGCACATACCAGCTTGCCGCAGGAGGGTGTCCGATCCCTGGACGCTCGAAGTCGTGTCGCGTGGGTATCAGATTCCTCTTCGGTCTCCTCCTCCTCTGACCCCTCACCTTTCCTCAGGTCTTTTGCCGAGGGACGAGGTGGAGACGATCCGACAAGTAGCAAGCCTTGTGGAGAAAAGGGCGATACACCTAGTGGGGAATCCTGTGTATCACCAGGGTTCTATTCTATCTCCCTCATTCCGAAGAGTTCGGGGGGGGGGGTGGCATCCAGTCCTAGACCTCAGTCGGGTTTGTGGAACTCAAGCGCTTCCGGATGGAAACACCGGCTTCGATACTTCTGTCAGTGCACTCGGCGATTGGTTGGCGTCGATTTGAGCGAATCTTACTTCCACATTCCCGATCCACCACTCATGCAGCCAGTATCTCAGACTTCCATTGGAGGGCAAAGTCCACGAGTTTACCACGCTCCCCTTCGGCCTGTGCACGGCATCGTATGACCAGAGTGCTAAGACAGGTGACCCAGCTGCCATACCGTCTAAACCCATATCTCAACAACTGGTTAATACACAACCGAGACAGGGAGGTCTTAGTGGAGCACATGCGGTTAATGCAAACACTCCTACATGAGTTGGGCTTTTTTATTGAATATTGTCAAGTCCAACCCAATACCGTCCCACAACTGGTTTTCCTGGGTATGCAGTTCGACACGGAGCAAGGGCGCGTTCGCCCCACGCAGGAGCGATACGGCTCTCCGGTAGATCTCGCTAGCCAACTCCGGTCGACGGGATCAGTGTCGTTGCGCGAACTGATGCGGCCTTTTGGAAAATGACTTCAGTTCGTCGTCTGGTTCCGTCAGCAGCTCTCCGGTCTCAACCGATTCAGAGGTGCGCACTGGACTACACATGCGGAACCTGACGTTCAGGGTTCAATCGTCGGACCAAGCAATGACGGCCTTTGGCGAAAGGATCCATTTGAGGGACCTTCAGGTTCAAGGGGACGTGGCCGTCCACATGTTTGGACCGCCACATCTATTGGTTGGAGTTGCAGACCGTCCGACTATCTGAAATTTTTTCAGGAAGTTGCACATCACCACAGAGTCCTGCTTCCTTCAGACAACACCTCAGTAGTTTCGTACATCAAGGAATGGAGCGACGCGTTGCCCCACGCTGTCGAAGCTAGCTGAGGAGATTCTCCTTTGGTGCCTGGATAACCAGGTTGAGCTATCAACTTACCACCTTCGAGGGAATACGCAACAGCGACGAGCGCCCTCTCGAAACGTATTCGGTTCCAGAACACTGAGTTGCAGACCCCACCAATGGCTGGCGGACCGGCTGTTTTGTCTCTGGGACGGGCCCCAGATAGTTCTGTTTGCCAATCACTGGAATGCCAAGCTCACGACGTACGTGTCACTCCTCTCGGAAACGAGCGCTTTCGCCACGTACGCTCTATCAATCTCTTGAAGTTGCAGGGGCGCTTACGCTTTTCTTACTTCCAACTGGGCACCAAGTGTTGGAGAAGTTGTGACTCAAGCCCACCTGTCTTCTGACTTAGGTGGCTCTCAATTGGCCTGTGAAGGTCTGGCTCCCAATGTTGCTGGAACTTCTAGTCGAGTCTCCCTTGGGGCTGCCGGATCTTCCGGTTCTGTTGTTCTAGCCAGATGGCACTTTACCGATGAGCCCCGCACTATTCCATCTCATGCGTGGAGGCCATCAATAAACTTGTGCAGGCACTAGGCTTTTCTGCAGAGTTGTCCAAGTTCCTCGCTTTGGCACAGTCGGGCGGCACCAGACATTTGTACGAATCCAGATGGAGGCCGTACATTGATTGGTGTGACGGAAGGAAAATTTATCATCTCAGTCCCTCTATTAGCAAGGTTTTTTAGGTGGGTTTTTTGACCTTTCTTTTTTGTGTTGAAAAATATACATTTCAGCCGTCTGAGCTTCCCCACCTCCGGTGAGCGTGCTACTCTGCCTAACGAGTAATAAATGGAATTTATTATTTCCACGGACTTTCTGGTAGGTGATGTAGTAAACTATTAGGGTTGTACAAACCTGTTTGTTTACCTAATCATACCTATCAGAAAGTGGAAAAACCGCCCACCTACCCACAAGCTTCCGGCGACCCGTTGTGCAGCGGAAACGTTTGTCTGAATATCGGTTCAGGCCCCTTATGCGTGATCACCCCACGGGGTGACCCCTTAGGAGAGGCCTTTTTTCTATAGAGAATGCTACCCTAAGGTGTTGCGAACAGGGTATATTCCCTAATAGTTTCCAATCGGGGCTGTAATCTGTAGTTAAGCCTAACGAGTAATAAATGGAATTTATTATTTCCACGGACTTTCTGGTAGGTATGATTAGGTAAATAAACGGGCTTGCACAATCCAAAAATTGCATGTAATATTGCACAGCTGACCTTTTAAAACTATTATTAATCAATATTATTTCAGAAATGATCAAAGGATGGCAGATCGACAGAAATTGACTGGTTTTTTACCACCTGGTAGACCCAAACAATGGAAAGCCAAGTGTTTTGAAGTATTGGAGCAAGTAGCAGAAACAAGGCATGTAATGTAGTTTAATTGTGTGTGCTGTGCATTGAGGTTAAAGGTTACATTTATAACAAGTGTATCTTTTTTGGTTCATTGGGGTGTTGATTTCTGGACTATTTGTATTGTTTATGTCTGGCATCTGAATCAAAGAACTTACACTCAAACAAATAAAATGCTATTTTTGCTTTGAGGACTGTAGAATGTGTATTTCTGTTTATTTGATTGAATAGCTATCCCCCACCATGCACTGCATCCCAGCTGACAATGGATATTAATAACATGGCATATGGCACAATGGTTAGCTTATCTGCCCAGTGTGTTTTTAGTCCTTGGTCACTCGGAGTCCGAAAACAGGGTCTTATAGATTGACCTCTGTGCATCCATGTGTCCGTGCGTGCGTGCATCTGGACCAGTATCTTAGACATGCCTGGACCGATTACATTCAAACGTCACACATACTGTACATGTATATCATATATGATAATATACATTTGCACATCAATTTGTTTTGCAATCTGATGCAAGATGGCCGAATGGCGGCCATTTTTGTAATGAAAAATCATCAAAATCAAGCATATCTCGGTTGTTTACAGATGGATTTTGTTCATACTTCAATATTATGGGACTTTGATTCACATCATTTTGTTTTTCAGATAAGATTCAAAATGTCCGACTGGCAGCCATTTTGTTTTAATAAATGTGGTTCTAGTGCCATATCTCTGACATGTTTTGACTGATAATGTTCAAATTTTAAATATTCATTTTAAATTATCTCATAGATATACAGATATATTAGTTTGGCAATCTGATTCAAAGTGGCCAAATGGCCATTTTTGTGCTAAAGAAATCACCAAAAATCAAGCATTTCTGGCATTTTGAAATTTGATCTTGGTCATTTATGGATGGAATTTATTCAAACTTGGTACATACCATACTTGATCGCGTTAGCGCTGAAGGTTCTCAACTCATAAAATCATGATCCTTTAGGGCTGGGTGCTTAACCGAGCACCCCTCGGAAAAGATTGCAAATGACAATTTTAAAACACCATGTGACAAATTGAGGGGGATATTACGTCTTTGATGGAAAATGAAATTACAAAATTATTTGCGTCGTCATTGACTCTTGCAATGAAGAAACAGAAATGGTCAAATATGCACATTTTATTAGTCCCCGTTCGGACATAGTCTGAAAATGGGGACTTATGTTTTGCCCTGTGTGTGTGCGTGCGTGCGTGCATGCATGCGTGCGTGCGTCCGTGATCACCTGTATCTCGAACATGCATGGACCGATTAAGTTCAAACTTCACTCATACATCACACATTATATGGGACATATGCACATGCATTTTTTTCATGATCTGATTAAGGATAGCCGAATAGCGGCCATTTTAAGGCCGAAAATGCATCAAAATTGCACAATTTCACTATTCCGGACTCGGATCACAGTTATGCATGAATGGATTTTGTTTAAATTTGGTACATACATTAAACATAATAGGACCTTGATGCACGTCATTTTTTTTTTTTTTGGATCGGGTTTGAAATGGCCGACTGGCGGCCATTTTGTTTTAAAGAATTCAGTTCTGGATCCGTATCTGAGACATGCCTGGATTGATCGAGTTAAAACTTCACACACACAAGGTACATCATGTCACAAATATGTATGTGCATTTGTTTCATGATCTCATTAACGATAGCCAAATGTCGGCCGCTTTAAGACCGAAAATGCATTGAAATCGAAAATTTTCACTATTCCGGACCCGGATCTCAGTTATGCATGGACGGATTTTGTTCAAATTTGTTACATACATTAAACATAATAGGACCTTGATGCACGTCATTTTTTTTCCCGAATCTAGTTCGAAATGGCCGACTGGCGGCCATTTTGTTTTAAAGAATTCAGTTCTGGATCTGTAGCCGAGACATGTCTGGATTGATCAAGTTCAAACTTCACACACACATGGTACATCATGTCACAAATAGATATGTACATTTGTTACATGATCCGCTGAGTGATGGCCATTTTAAGGCCGAAAATGCATCAAAATCACGTATTTTCACAATTCCGGAACCGGATCTCAGTCATGCATGGATGGATTTTGTTCAGATTTAGTACAATGTGTTGTACATATGCAGGTGCATTTCGGATCAGACCACTGAAAGTGGTCTGAGATTTCGGTCATGATCTGCTTTGAATGTATATGTCACTCAAATATGAACGGAACGGGGACGTGTCATTGACAATGACTTGTTAGAAATGTTTTGATATGTAAATTTTGAATGTTAGAATGAGTGCAAATTTTGAACAAATGTAACTGCTTTTAACAGAAAGTTGAATTCTACTGTATTCAGTGCTTGATCTATATAATAAATATTCACAGTACAGCTTTTGGATAACGAGTTACACAATTCATGTTGCTGATTTATCACACTTTTATTTTTATTGTAAAAGTCGGGTGAAGATGTGTTTTTTTGCAGTAAGATCAGCTCTACAGTAAGCTATGAAGTATGATGAAAAGAGAACATATGCGTTACTCAAATGCGATGCAAAAGTGATAAATACTCAACATCTGTGTTATAAATACCTGACACTTGCCTGATAAATACCTGACACTTGCGTGAGAAATACCTGACACTTGCATGATAAATACCTGACACTTGCGTGATAAATACCTGACACTTGTGTGATAAATACCTGACACTTGCATGATAAATACCTGACACTTGCGTGATAAATACCTGACACTTTTGTGATAAATACCTGACACTTGCGTGATAAATACCTGACACTTGCATGATAAATACCTGACACTTGCGTGATAAATACCTGACACTTGCGTGATAAATACCTTACACTTGCGTGATAAATACCTGACACTTGCGTGATAAATACCTGACACTTGCGTGATAAATAAGCAATGCAAATGTGGAAATAAAGACAGGTTTCTAAGTATATCTAATAAGGTATTCTAATTAAAAACAGTATATGTTTTGTTTTTATTTGCAGAATTGAAGCCAATCAAATTGAAGATAGAGAAGGTGACAAGATGTGGTTAGTACGTCATTTAGAGTTGACCAGAATGATCATATTAGATGACTTGAGAGTAATCAAGGTGAGTTTATCCATATAAGATATTGAGCAATCACCAATCAGGCTGTGTGACATTACAACATTCAAACATAGTATGAACTTCTCTGAAGCCATTTTCAATCATTTGTATGTCCCTATTCATATTTTTCTTTGACCCATTTTAGACAAAGTTTCATCTCTATATGCATGTCTCCGTATGTCTGCACTTGTATCTTGGGCATCCCTGGACCAATCATGAACACAGAGGTCTATTAAGCCAAATTCTGAGGCAAGACTTGAGGAAACGTGTTGTCGAACCTTTAGGTACCATCGATGACATCACACAGTCTATTGTGTTAATCGATAATTGGTTTACAACACATGTACATTCTTCACTTGGATAATCGTCCAATGACAGGAAAGTGCAGTATGGCATTAGAACGACATTTGTGGCATGTAGCATATGTTGTGTTAAATACAACTTTGGGCTATGAATTCTACCTCTCGGTATAGACTATTATCAATTGATACTGATATATATATATATATATATATATATTAAATAAATCTCTTGTGTACAACACATAATTCGTTTCTAATAATTACAATGTAGACACCTTGTGATATGTATAATATTGTATATTTTAGTTCCAATTTCAGACTATTAATTTGGTGCGGTTTCCATCTGTGTGTGCAGCCATTTCTCTGATGTCCTTAAACCAATCATACTCAATCAATCAATCATACTCAATCAATCAATCATAATCAATCAATCATACTCAAGTTAACAGACCATGTATGAAGACTCAATTGTTATTATCATTTGATCAAGTATGACTGACTGGTGGTCATTTTAGTCTAAAACATTGATAAGTTCTGATACTTAAACATGTTCAGAACCATTTCTTGGAGATGAACTGGACAATTTCATTCAAACTTTGGATCATGATCATGCTTATTGGGTTACAAGTGCATGTCATATTATTTTTTATAGGTTTGAACAAAAATTGCCAACTGGTTTGTTTTTGTTCATGTCCTTGCTGATTCCTCACTAGCATTTCATCTGATTCATTTGAAACTTTGCATACAAGTACTATACTCATAGTTAATACCATAGGTTATGTTATTTTCGGTAACTCGATTAAATTTGTCAATTGACACTCTGTAAATGTGTATGAATCATTTCTCGCAGATGAACAGAGCTTTATATGAGGATTCACGTAAGTAAGAGTACCTGTACAGATGAGGTGCAGGATTGTTTATATGCAACTTGTGCGTACACACAAATCAGACTTGCAGGTAGCAATAAAAATACAAATGAAATGTATGTGCAAATCAGTCTTGCTAGCAGACTTCCATGTAGCTTTTTAATTATACTTACTAATAAAATATGGAGGTATCAAATATGTAATGTTCAGTGTTATTTACAGAGATGATTTTACAAATTGGGTTTAAATTTGATACAAAGGCATGATATAATGGGTTAAATATTTTTGTTGTTTTTTTCAAAGTTGGTACATCACATTTTGTTGACCTTCAACTAACAGCCATAATTGTCATAAAATCAACATTTGGACATATCATTAACAGTTTCTCGGGCATTATAGTGATAAAATTTGGCATTAAATACAAAACAGCATATTATACATATTATACATAATGTTTCTTGATATGGTAGAATGAAAATACCCAGTGCAATACCCCAAAATACGGCGCGCTGTAACTTATGGCATTACAGTGACAGATGTATAATAATATATCTTATGCATCATTGTGTTCATACATTTTCACCTTTAATTGAATTGGTTTGTTTGTTTTCAAAGATAACTTGCCAACCATGCTTTCCACCAGAGTATGAAATCTTTGATAGATTTGTGAAGATTTACCATAAATGTCTTTCAAATCATGTAAGTACATTACGATTGTCATACATCATGCAACATTGAAGTGAGTATTCTTGAGTTGAAAAAAATAATATAGCTGCTTTACAAATCACCAAGTTCCAGAAAATGAAAGTAATATTACTGTAGAATACTTTATTTTCGCTGGAGGGATGATTCCGTGAAAATAAAATCCAGCGAATATACTTTTTTTCCTATATTTCGCATTAAACTCATCAAAAATCAGTGAAAATAAATTCCATACAAAACGCCCAAAACGCCTTTTCAGCGAAAATTAATTCCAGCGAAAATAAAGTATTCCACAGTAGTTGATATCCAATGGATTTATGGTAATAGATACACATTAGCAACATTTAAACTAAATCGTTGGCTAGTTCTCTCAATGGTCTCCATGTATCGTAACAGTAAATCAGCCATTGTAAGGTTAGGAGAATTAGAAAAGCTGAAATCCTCAAATGCAATTTAAATTGAAAACGCATATTGGTGAATGCATGAAAGTATATGGCTATATACTTAATATACTATTACTTAATACATAAATATATATATATATAATTATATATATAACAGCGTCCGGATTACTTTCGGAAATTCCGTCGCGTTTCGGAAAGTTTTAATTTTCAAAACTTTTGAATATTTATTTGTGCTTTTAGGTTAGTGAGAAGGTTATAATAATTCTTCATTTCACTTTAACACTGTTTTTACACCCCTCAGACCCCTTTAAAAAGTCACTTCTGGCCATTATAATGGCCACTAATTTCTTAATGGCCAGAGTATTGACCAGAATTTTTTAAGTGGCCAAAATATTTACCAGTGTTTTTAAAATGGTGGTTTTAATGACCCATGTTTTTTATACTGGTCAGAATAATTACAATTGCTTTTTAAATGATGGAGTTGATGAACATTTTTTTTTTTATGGGCAGTATAATGGTCATTTTATTTTTCATTACATACATAAAATGACCAGTATTTTTGTTCATGTCTCTAAATATAATGGCCCAGAAAACAGCCTCAATATATACGTGTGGGAATTTATTTTTCCCAAGTTTCACTGGCGCTTCCAAGTACACTTAAATGAAATTTCGCGAATATTGCCTCGATCCCCAGTGAAATTTCATAGTAACGCTGATGCCAGTGACTGCTGGTGGACTGCATAACCTGCGGAGTATTTAGATGGTGTTGAATCATAGGACGATTGCAGTACTGCAACTGGCACATCAAGGTATGAATTTGTAATTATTTTACCATTTTACAATGACTTCAATACAATATTAGATACTTTTGTTGTTGTTTATGTAGCAGGATAGTCTTTTGGGGCTTTCGTTTTTGTTCAGTCATGGCACACTGTGTAAGTAATGCTTCATTATTATTCATAATTGTCAAACAACAAGCTCAAGTAGGTGTTAATGAGGATTAGCTCCTATGTTTGTTAATACAAGAAAA